CTACGACGACTACTAGTACTAGCACTAGTATCCGTACTACTACTTTTACTCCTACTACTGCTGCTGCTACTACTACTACTACTATTACTACGACTACTTCTACGACTACGACTACTACTACTACTACTACTACTACTACTACTACTACTAGTACTACTACTACTACTACTACTATCACTGCTACTACTACTACTACTACTACTACTACTACTACGACTACTACTACTACTACTACTACTACTACTACTACTACTACTACTATACTACTACTACTACTACTACTACTACTACACTACTACTACTACACTACGACTACGACTACGACTAGGACTACGACTACGACTACGACTACGACTACGACTACTACTACTACTACTACTACTACTACTACTACTACTACTACTACTACTACTACTACTACTACGACTCCTACTATTCCAGCTCCTACATGTTCTGCTCTTTTCAAAAACATAGAGGAACGAAAGGGCCAGAGAACGAAAGAGAGAGGTTGGGAAGGTTGAGGAAAGGAGGTGTACTGGCGAGGAGGGATGGACATCGCTCTGGCCCCCCCTCCATCCTTCTGCTCTTCCCAGCATCCCTGGCTTCTGACCATCCGCCCTCAGCGCGCAATGCACGAGTGACGCATGCAATTTGAATCGTAGGGGAAGAAACAGCACAAGCTTATATCTGATTAGCGCAGAGTGCGATCATTGTAACCGCGCGCAGTGCACGACGCACATCTGTGAAGAATATGGTTTCTCTAATTCGTTTAAATTGTGCATCCCAGCCTCCACCAGGTTGCTCCGCATCATGCTGTTCGCGGGGATTACGACCCCAGCCGTTTCGCAAGCGCTCTCCCCACCCAGGGGGGTCCGGAGGAAGCGGTGCCTGAGCTCGAGGTTTTGGCCGCTGAGGAGGAACCCGCGCCGGGGGGCGCTGACGATGCCAACGGCGACATTTACGCGCGTCCCCCAGTTCCTCCGCAAGGGCCAACGCCAGTGAAGGTGGAGGACTTGGCGGCAGAGGACACGTTTTACAATAACGGCTTGGGGGACGATGGGACCATGATTTTGACCATGAAGGTGAATGGCAACCTTATCATAACCGACCGGCAGTTTTTGCGCCGTGTGTTCTTGCTCGGGCACGCCAGTGACACGGTCTCGAAGATCGTTGAGTGCGCGCGGGTACTCGTCAACGACCAGCGCGCGAGTGGGCACTCGGCGGGGGCGGCAGGTGCCCAAAAAGGAAGCCGCCGCGTTGCTATGCCTTCAGGCGACGTGCGTGCGCTCTTAGCTGCTTGCGCGGCAAAATACAAGCGGATCTGCACTTTCGCGGACGATGTCGTGACGTTCAGGGACTTCGCCGAGGAGAGCGAGCGCCAGATCGAGCATCACAATGAATTCATGCACTGCGCTCGTGTCTCGCTGTTGGAGATTTCGCAAGCCCGCACCGCTTTCATGACGAAGAAGAGGCCAGCCCAGGCTGCATGGGGGCCAGCTCCTCCACGAGCCCGTGCTAGGAGGGGGTCTGCGGCGGAGGGGGGCGCTGCAGGCGCTGAGGGCGTTTCGGGCGGCGCGGGCGCTGGCGATGGCGTTCCCGCTGGCGGCGCGTGAGGATAGGCCCGAAGAGCAGGGAAGGCCTCGGCGATGCGCTCGGCGAATTGCACAGGCTTACTTCGCGCGTCGCGGCGGGGCTGGAGGCCCCGAGCGATACTTCTCGCAACATCTAATCTTTTGAATGCCCAGTATGGGGGCGGGCGAGCGCGGCGCGCTCCTCTCGACCATTTTGGACGTACGTCCAAAGTGGATGGCAATTCTGGAAGAGCGGACTGTGGTGGCATGTGCCTCACCTGTTACACGGCGCGGCTTGCCTGCCTCGCGCGCGCGCCCGACGGCGCGCGCGCCGGACCCGCGAGCGCGTCGCTGAGAAAGTCGGCGATGACCTATATGTGAATACCGATGCGGCGCCTCTGCGCCAGACTGACCTTCCTCTCCAAATTCGAACGTGGCTGCAGACAGGCCCCAGATGCTGGGGAGACGGCGACCGAGCACATATGCCTGATCTCGCTGGCGGACCTGTTCGGCGGTTCGCGCGCTGAGGTGCGCGCGCCGCCTCCTGCTTCCCGTGTCTTCGGCGTCTCGCATCGATGCTTTCGCCCGCCTGATTCGACCTGCTGCCCCGCTCAGCCGCTCTGTCCTGCAAAATGTGCCTCCTCTTCTCCTCCCCCTCCTTCTCCCCCTCCCATCCGCCCGTATATTCCTCGTGTTGCTTCTTTTTTGCGGAGGCGGGTTTGAGAATAAGCTTCCATGGCTCCTTATTTCCATGCCCCCCCCCTCCCTTGCCTGGAGGGAATGGCCGCGAGCGGACAGGCGGCTGCTGGGGCTCATGACGCCTCCGATATGGCCCTAGATAGCCGTAGATGGCGTCAGAGATGGCCTACAAGATGACAGGTGACAAACGGGATCAGCATTGCTAGAGCATGCCTCCAAGCGGCCACGATTTGCCCCTCGGGCGGCTCCTGGGCAGAGGGTGACATAGTATATAGGATATCCCCCGGGGACCGTGCCATGCCTGGGGGAACTCTGGGAGGAAAGGCCCATGGGCGTCTAGAGCTGAGTTTCGCGCGCAGGAGACATCGTCCCCAGTTGATCCTACCGCCCCACTCACCAATGATCCTCCGGGGCGGACCCCTCCCCGAGGCGTGCACATCTGACCTCGTCTCTGTTTCTCTCTTTCTCTCTCTCTCTCTCTCTTTCTCTCTTTCTGCCTGTCTTTCTCTCTCCCTCGAGCTGCCACGACCCACCCGGGCAGCCCCTACTCAACCGGTGGCGCATGGGGGGGGGGGCGCAGTGGCCGCCGGCGGCGCCAGCCACGCAGACTTTGGTTCAAAGACTCGGTTCAAGAAGGGGGGGCGCTGGAGCAACCAGGAAGGGGGGGGCTTGTCAGTCCATCAGGCACGTATCGCTCATGTGTGTCACTTCTGTGGATGATGTGCTATGCCACGCGAGTCAAGCAACTTCCATTTTCATTTGTGTTCTCAACACATTGGCAACAAATGTCGCGCGACCCAATCCACAAATTTGCTGCATGAGGCGTTCACACCCCTTCCGGAATCATGTTCCAGAAGAGGCCCCCCGGAACATGATTTGCATGCCCCCGGGAAAAACTATTTTCGGCGCGCCGTCCGATCCTAGGTTTTAGGCGCGGCAGAGGGGCAGAGAGGCTGCAATCTTCACACCTCTCTCTCTGGTTCGTTTGCCATCCCCGTTTGGTCAGAGCCTGGACTCAGTCCATACCCCGAGCTTCCTTTGACAGTTTTAGCGCCGTTCTGGACAAGTCTGCGAGACGCTGACTCTACAGTGCTTCCTGGACTGCTCCCCTTCCAATGTCAGGGGGGTAGGAACACGCGGGCGCGTGGTAGCTATGCCATGTTGTTGAGGGAAAGGGTCGGGCGTTAGGAGTTTGGAGAGAGGGAGAGGAGGCGGGAGGAGGCCAGAGGAGAGGAGGAGGGAGAGGGTGCGTGGACCCACGATGCGACGGTAGAAAAGGTCCACGGCTGGATCGTCTGGGGCAAGGTGCACACCTTGACCGAGCCAGTGTGCCTCCGCAACTATTCAAATGTGTGTTTGGGTGTACCGGTCCATCCGTTGTTGAATATCCGTGCCTTTTGGTGCACTGCTGCGTCCGTGCATTTTGGATGCACTGGTCCACCCGCTGTTGGATGGCATAGGGTCTGAGAGGCTGCATTCGTAACACTTGTCGCGGGGAGGGGCTCTTGTGACTTTGGCCCCTGTGAACTCTTCAAATTAACGTCGCCACTTGTCGCTCTGGCACTCCAATGGTGCATTCCTGCCGCTGAACGCTCCTGGGGTGCTATGATGTGGTTTCGCCGCCAGCTGTTTATGGTACGAATTTTCTGAATTCCGTATCTTCCGAATCCAAGGCGGACGCCCTCCCCGAAACGTGCACATCTGACCTCGTGAATGTCTCTCTCTCTCTCTCTCTTTCTCTCTCTCTCTCTCTTGCTGCCGCTCTCTCTCCCTGTCTCTCTCTCTCTCTCTCTCTCTCTGAAATGAAACTGCGTCGACGTTTTGCCCCCCTCCCGGACAAAACGTCGTTCCATGGGCCTACGCAAACAGGTTGACGCAATCGCCCCGCCCCAACCCTCCAGGCTTCCCCTGAACAGGATTTCCCGCTTCAGGACCCGACATTTTCGAGATCACCTTCGACGCCAACGACACCCCTGCTCTCTCGCCCCCCCCGTCGTGGACCATCATAGGCCTCGCCACTGAGGGCCATCGTAGGCCTTGCGCCCGTCGCAGCTGCCATCGCAGGGGCTGCTTGGGGCCCGCCCTCTCCCACCAATTCACCCATGCACCAATTCACCATGCCGTCACTAAGCACCGGAAGGGGACGAGGACCTCCCTGCGGCCCCTCGGCCACCGAAGACGGCCGTAGGGAAGGGCCCAAACACACCTCCACACTTGTACACGTTTTCGCACCTCCAATTCTTAGCGCAGGCGAAGAGTCCACGACTACCATGGCGACGAGTACAACGTCTACTGTTAGTGCTGGTGCGCCTGGCTCCCAGTGGAAACAGTAGTGCAACTGTTTCTGATAATACCACTACCTGCTGAAAGAACGCTAGTACTTCCAATGCTACACACACCGACACCGGGCTATCACTAACAAGGCTTCGAACTACTCAACGCGCTCATTCTGGGCGGATGAATTGTTCGATGGCCCTTCCATGCGTCGCTTTACTCACGATGCCGTTTTACCAAGTCAAACCTCAACGCCCTCTTCCTGCTAGGTCTCCCGGGGTATTCTGCTCTGTTCCAGTTGTTGTTTCAGGGTGGGGGCAGCCGGCGATGTCCCGCGGCGGGTCAACCGAATGGACTCCTGTGCGCCCATTGTGGCAAGGGGGCAATCGCGCTGGGGCGGCGCCTTATGGCAGTGGACAGGAGGCACGAGACAATGGCACCGAGGTGCCAGCTGCGATGGCGCCAGCCGCACACAGCTCGTCTGCCGGGCGACTGCGCAGCGAGGGCGGTGGCGTCGACTGCCTCGTGGAAGAGGCCAGCAAGCCTGGGGTGAATGCGCTCCCTGAGCTTAGCACAGCTCGGACATCATGCCCTGATTGCAGGGGCCCTTTGCAGCCGGTCCAGCAGCGGAGTCCCGTGCGCTGCGTCATCGTGGCTGAACCGCAGTGCGTTGTGAGGCACCACTTTGCCAAGCAATGTGTTCCATGTAGTGCGGCTGGTGCCGTTCGGAAGTACTGGTGCGGCTACGTCGAGACGTCTGCGCCCGAACACCAGGGAGCCTTCGTGAAATCCATGGACATCAGCGCCCCCGCGAATCCTTTCTTCATGCTCAACAAGTCTTTCGGCATTGATTCGGCCTGGGCCAAACGATGGGGATATCGCCTGTATGCCCACCGCGCTTCTTTCTCAGGCGAGGCGCAGATCCTGCGAGCCCTCGAACCCGACGTGCCCATCGAGACGCTGGAGCGAGGTTTGGAATCAGCATGGATACGCTACCAATTGTGGCAGCGGGCGGCGGAGAGCGCCCCCAGCACAAAAAAGGTGTTGGCCAGCTCCTTACTCGAGAAAACGTTGGAGGATCTTCTGCGCGAGAACATGGGCTGGTACAAGCCAATGATGGCAGAACGCCGGCTTCAGGCGTGGCGGTCGAGCGGGGACAGACTGGACATTTGTGCAATGGACGGTAATGCGAAGCTGTACCGGCGCACTTGTGGAGCGCCTTGCGCAGAGGCTGTGTACTCGGACGAGCTCGGGATGCACCTGGTACGCGGATGCCCAGACACGCCTCTGCAGAAGGGAGTCCTGTGTCGTCGGCACCAGGAACTAGCGGCCGTTCCAAGTCAGACGGGAATAGGCACCCATATTGAAGCGCATCGTGTGCTGGCACCGCTGGCGACCGTAGCTTTCCTGGACGTGGAAGTTCGGCTCGCGGGAAGCGATCGTTTTCAGCCCGCTTGTGGACAACGACCTCGTGCAGTCCTACTTCGCTCGCAACGCCGAGGTGGTTCTGCAAGAGCGGAAACGTCGACGACAAGAGCGCCGTGATCTCCGTGTCGGACGGGCGCCAGCGTTCTGTCTCGGAGACTGGGCTTCCCGCGAGCCCAAAGACAAGTGCTCCTGCAAGACACACAAGGAATCTATTTCGGCAGTGCGCACGTCTGCGCGTTCAGCGGGCATCCTGACCGCGGTCTCGGAGACTGGAGTCATCGGCGCCTTCGAGGAGGTCATCACAGCGGAGACCCTGTCGCAGCGTTACTGCTTCTTGGCCAAGGTGCAAGAGGGAGGGAAATCATCACCACCACCACTAGTGAATGATGAAATGGGAGGCAGGAGAACCGAGGGGTTTAATCCCACCAGCCCTTTGGGCGTTGGTGGTCTAGAGTGTTTCCTCTGTGACCCCTCCTACTTCCCCTTCGGGGAGGGGTTTACCCCTCCCCCTACCTCCTCCCCTGGACGTGGACGGGGGGGTTCGCGACGCGTTGGAGCGTCCAAAACGGCCTCGGCGAGGAAGCCCAAATCATTGGTTTTACTATAGTTTTGGCCTCATGTTGGCCTTCGGGGAAGGCGACCCTGATTTGGGAACCCCCATTCTTTGATGGATCTCCTCCGAGATGGCCCCAAGAGCGCTCCCAAGGCTCCCAAGGGTGCCCCAAGAGAGCCCCAAGAGGAGGCCAGGAGGCCCCAAGAGGCCCCCAGGAGGCCCCCAGGATGCCCCCAAGAAGCTCCCAAGAGACCCCCAAAAGGCCCCAAGAGGCACCCAAGACGCTCCAAGAGGCCTCGGCGAGAATTCTAAAACCATTGAGTTTACGTTGGTTTTGGTAACATGTTGGCATCCTGGGTGGGGGGGGGCGCTGATTAAGATGACTCCAAGAGCGCCTGGGAGAGCCCAAGATGACCTCCACGATGGCTCAAGATATCCCAAGATGCCTCAAGATGGCTCTCACGATGCTCCAAGAGGCCCCAAGACCGCTCCAAGACGGCTCCAAGTGGCCAAAGAGCTCCCCCAGGAGGCCCCAGGAGGCCCAAATCATTCCAAAACCTTGGGAACATCAATCCAAGAGCGCCCAGGAGGCCCCAGGAGGCCCCAACTGGCGCCCAAGAGGCCTCCAAGAGGCTCGCAACAGACCCCCAAGAGGCCCCAAGAAGCAATCGAGGCGCCCAAGACGCTCTAAGAGGCGTCCGGGACCGCCAAGAGGACCCCAAGACGCTCCAAGAGGCCTCCAGTGGGGGACCCTTTCTCTGTGTGCTGCCCACTTCCCTGATCGAGGCAATTCCTCTGGGCATCGTTTCTGGATGGGCTGGTGGGGTTACGCGAAGCGGCTAGACTTGAATCGCTTCGCTCACTCCGCTGGCCCATATCGCTGTCTGTCGGCGTGCTCGAGGCGGGCGAAAACAAGGAGTAGGAAGGGGAAGTGGAAAGAGGAGGGAGAGGAGGAGGAGGAGGAGGAGGAGCAGGAGGAGGAGGAGGAGGAGGATGAGTAGGAGGAGGAGGAGTTCAGTCGATGGCTTCTCGGGGCACTCTCGGGGCCAAGCTGGGTCGTCGACGAGACGTTTTTTCGGGAAGCCTCTCGGAAGCTTTTTGGCGCTATTTGTTGAACCTCCTGGGGCCTCTTGCAGGCCCCGGGCGTCTTGGGTGCCTGCTGGCGGTTTCGGGGGCAATCTTTCGGGGAAGGGCTCGACATGTCAGTTGGGGTTCCCCTTCTTGTGTGCCCTCTGGGGGGGTTATGGAGCCCTCCTGGGAAGCCCCTTGGGCCGTTTTGGGGCCCTCTTGGGTTGGGGCCGTCCTGGGAGCGTCTTGGGCTGACTCGAAGCTACATCGGAGGCCTTTTGGGCCGTCTTGGGCGGTCGAAGGCCGAACGGGCGGCAACGCCGACATATTTCAAAAACCAAAAAAAAAAACAAAAAAAAAACATTGAACTTTACCCTCCAGGGGCTCCATTGAGGCTGCATTGGACCATCTTGGGGCTGCGTTGGCGCCTCGATTGATCCGGATCATTGGGCTCTCTCGGAGCTCCTTTGGGCCGTTGTTGGGGCCCCTTGGGGCAATCCTAAGCGTTCGTGGGGGCCCCGAAGGCCGCCCCCGGGAACCGCCCGTGGGAGTGCCGGCATCCGTGGCGGGACTTCACCAGGATTTTGCTGGGCCCTTCCCTGGGGTACTTTTCGCTTGGAGACCCCCAGGGACCGCCGCGCGTTTGCTGACTAAACATATTCTGAACCACTTTCTGGAGATTTTATTGAACTCGCCTCTGTCACCAGTGAGCCAGCGAATTTGCGTGGGAAACTTGCGAGACCCCCTCCCCTCTCTTGAATTACCCTGCTTTCCCTACTTCCCTCTCTCTGTCCTCCTTTTCAAACCCCTTTTCCGCTCACTCCTCAAACCTTCCCTGGCCTTACTCTGTCTCCCCTACCCTATCCCTCTCTCCCTCGTCCGTCCCTTCCTTCTCCCTACCCCCGTTCCCCTCATTATTCCCCTTCCCCCTGCGTGCCCTCTCTGCCGTTGCCCTGTCCTTCCTTGCCATGGCCCATGGATCCATGAACGTGCATGCCTGAACCTTCACCTCCCCCCCACATTCCTCTTCCCTCTCCTCCTCTGCCTTTCCCTCTCCCCTGTCCATCCCTCACCACTCCCCCCTCCCTCCCAACCCCTCCCTCCCCGTCCCTACCCCGCGCCTCCCTGGCCAAGCTTCCTCTGCCTTCTTTCCCATCCCATCCTATCCTCCGCTCCCTCCGCCCCGTGTCTTTTCGTGCCATTGCAATCTTTGCTAAAATAACGAACACCCTGTTTGGCCTCCCCCTAAGGTGGCGGCCGCTGTCCCCGAGCTGAAGACACTTGTGCATGACGATGCGTGCCACGTGAGAGTGTTTACATTATGCAGGGGTGCGGATGCGGCCGAGGGCAGCATGGCTGCGCGTCTTGGCGGCTTCCAATTTATTCTGGATCGGCCCCACAGCCTCGGACATGTCGACCCGACGTGCCGCAACGAGTGCTTCCCCACAGTAGCAGCCAACGAGGCAACGTTGGGAAGTTTCCCGACTCCGATTTGTGAGTCAGTGAATGCTCAACTGTCACCTCTAGCGCATACAATGCACCACATGGGTAGGTGGGTTTGCTCGTTTCTCGTGTCCGAACTCGTGGAAGTGCACAACATGTTCCGGGACGTAGGCGCCGCGCGTGAAAGTGCCAGGGCGCAGAGGAGGGCGCAGAAGAAGGCAAGGCGACCGCCGCCTCCCGCTGCATTGCCGGCCGAAGTCCCAGAAGCAGCGCCTGCTGTGGAGGCTGCGGTCGGGGACGGGGCTGGAGGTGATTCCGCAGCGCATGTGGTGCGCCGCAGAAAACTGCGGCAGTTCTGGGCAGACGCCGCCGCAGCGGGAGACAAGTTCTTCGAGTGCCAGGCGTACCAAGAGCGTTCCCCCAGGAACCAACTTGGGTTCGCATGCGCTGGCGCCCGAATTGTTTTCGGAAGCACACTTGTAGCTGGTGTAGCTGTGTGCGCTGCGACTGCGCAGCGCGATGTGAACGCCGACGACACTAAACGCTTGCTCAAGCAAGTGCCCGAACATTTGCGGGGCGCTCTCGCTGAGTTTTTGGCACCGTCGTCCTCCTTTGACGTCGTGCACATGGACGTAATTTTTGACTTGCGGCCCTTGGGCCTCACGTGGGAGACGTTGCACGAAGCCCTCGGGGCGAGACCACTGAAGCAGAACTGCGGCTGGCCGCGTCTGCAAGGCGAGAATGTTTCGAATCGCTTGGACGAGCTGTGCCAGCGACCCGGTGTCATCGTCAGGCGGCCGCCCCCGCCTGCGCTCGGGTGAGCGTAGGGCTGCTGTGGAGGACTCGCAACTCTATATGTACCCCCGCTCCAACGCTAGACTTTGAATTGGATTTGCATGTCACCGTGCTGGGTGAGCATCCTCTTCATCTTGCCTCCCCCATCCATCCGCCTCTGTTTCCTTCCTCCCCCCCCTTGCCTCCTATGTCCTCTTATGTTGGATGCATCGATGTGGCCGTTTGGGCTATGGGGGGACGAGCGCCAACGTAATCAGCTGCTCTGTGCTCGTCGCAATGTGTCTTATTGCTCTGCGTGCACGAAACAATTCATGCATGAGTGGTGTGAGCCATCCTCTCGGGGCACGTTTGCATCCCGAGCTGCGGGCCACGAGTTCCATTATTCCTTCCTCCCACCCTCTCCTCCAATTCATTATCTCTCCCTGTTATCGCCAGTGTTTTCGTGCTGATGGATCCGCGGTGGTGTCATTCCCACGAGTGCTTTTAGTTGTGCGCCTTGATTCCAGAACTGTTGCACGAGACCTCAAAACTTAGATGCTATGGCACACGCAATTGAATTCTGAGTCTACGGGGTGCGAGATGCGTCCATGCTGGGAGTGTTTTGCCTGCGCAAAGGTTAGCCACAACTATTGGGCTGACCTCCGGCCAGTGCCGCCGATCCAGGGGGATGAGAGCGAGATGATGATGATGATGATGATGATGATGATGATGATGATGATGATGATGATGATGATGATGATGATGAGGATGATGAGGATGGTGAGGATGATGAGGATGATGAGGATGATGTTTCGGCGATTCGGGGCCCTCTTGCATTTTCTAAGGGGCATCTGGGGCCTCTCTTGGCTTCCTCTTGGGCTGTCTTGGGCGGTCGGGGCTCTGGAAGCGGAATTTTCTATACCCCCTGTCCCTGGGTACCGAAAAACGTCGGAAATGACGTCGGAAATATCCCCGTGTACCGAAAAACATCGGAAATGACGTCGGAAATAACGAACCCCCCCCTGCAGAGCGAAGCTCGAGCGAGCTCAAGTTCACGCTCTCAGAAACTCACACGCCGGATCGGCGGATTTACATGGAACTGTTAGACTGCTGACTTGACGATGGCATTTTCGAAAATAACGCTCGCCACATTGATGCATGTCTCTGAAACGTTTTTTCTGCATGCCCTTGAAGCCCCCGATGCCCCCCCCCTAACGTGACAAATCCCCGACTTTACCTGGCCCCAGGCCCTGTCAACACTGCGCCAAAGCTAACCTGACCCACCCAACTTAACATGACCAACGGCTCGGCGACGACACCGGCGTGTCACGCGCGCCAAGAATGGGACGGCACAGTAACATGCAATGCAAAAAGGCCAATTGCATCACTAATCCCTCTTCATTTCCCGCGGATGGGGCAGCGATCCAGAAAGCGAAAGTCGTTCGCAATCAAGATGTGGCAGGCGCCCCTGCGATGGTATAGTCCACCATCAGGGCGAGAAGGGCACTCGCAATGAAGGGTGCGGCTGGCGCCGAAGCGGCAGCACAACATTCGCAATCGTATTTTTGGCCAGCGCCAGGCGAGAGCAGCACTCCGAAACGAGAGCACAGCACGCGCTGAGCAGGCGAGAACAATCGCAATCATGCGCGCGGCCGGAGCCCAGGACCTGGGCGTAAGCAGCATTCCGAGTCGAAAATGCAATCCGCGTTGAGGCGAGAACAATTATCGCAATCATGTGTGCGGCAGGCGCCTAGGCGAAACCAGCATTTTCAATTGGACGTGGCTGGAGCCGTAGCGAAAACGACATGCTCAATGAAAGATGTGGCCGGCGCGTGGGCGACATCGACATTGTCCATCAGACATGTGACTGGCGCAACAGCGAAAACGTCATGATCAATGACAGATGTGGCTGGCGCCTAGGCGACAGCAGCATTTTCCATCAGACATGCGACAGGCGCCACACCGAGAACGATATATTCAATGAAGGATGCCGTGGCGCCGAGGCAACAATAACATTTTCAAGCAGACATGACATGTATGGCCTGCGCCAAGGCGAGAAGGACATGCTGAATGAAGGATGTCGCTGGCGCCTCGGCGGCAACCACATTCTTAATCCAAGATCTGGCCAGCGTCAAGGCGAGAACGACATGCTCAATGACGGATGTCGTCAGCGCCCAGGCGACAGCAGCATTTTCAATCAGACACTCGGCTGGCGCCAACGCGAGAACGACATTCTCAAGGAAGGACGTCGCTGGCGCCAACGCGGCAGCCGCATTCTGAATCGGAGATGCGGCCCACGCATAAGCGAGAACAAGTTGACAACGCGCCCAGACGGCGATCGGGCGACCAGACGACCAAACGACCAGACGACTGGGCGCCGCCCCGGCGCCCAAACGCCTGCGCGCCCGATGCTCGGGAACGCCAGGACGTCCGGACACCCAGACGCCGAGGCGCCTTTGACGTCCGGGCGCTCGGACGCCCAGGCCTGACGGGGTGCCCAGACGCTGGGGCGCCTGCGCGCCTGGATGCCCAAACGCCTGGGCGCCCAGACGCCCAGACGCCCGAACGCCCGGGCCGCGACGTCCAGACGCGGGGGCGCCCGCCGAACGTCCCAACAACGCCACAACGCCCAGACGCCCGGGGCGCCTGGGCGCTGGGGCGATCGGAACGGGGCGCCCAGCCGCCCACAGCGCCCAACGGAACGCCCGGACGCCCGGACGGCGACCAGACGCCTGGGCACCCGCACGCCCGGGGCGTCGCCTGGACGGCGCCCGGGGCGCCCGGGCGCGGACGCTGGGCAGCGCGGCCAGGGCCCAGGCCGCCCGGGCGCCGGACGCTCAAATGCCCAGAGCGCCCGGCCGCCCAGGCGGCGCCCAGTCGACGCCCGCGGCCTGGCGCGCTGGACGCCTGGGGCGCCCGATCGCCGAGCCGCCCGGCCGCCCTGCGGACGCCTGGGTGCTGCGATGCCCAGGGCACCCGGGCGCCTGGACGGCCGGGCGCCCAAACGCCAGATCGTCTGGGCGGCCTGGGCTGGGGCGCCCGGGCGCCCAAACTCATTCGCCCGGACGCCAAGAGCGCCCTGCTGCCTGAATGGAGCCCGCGCGCCCGGCCTGGCGCCGTATGCCCAAGGCGCGTGGGCGCTGGGCCGCCCGGCCGTCCCGGGCAGCCCGGACGCCCAGACGGCGCCTGGACGGCGCCCGGGCGCCCGGACGCCCGGGCGCCGGGAGGCCCCAGCGGCCGGACGCTTGGGCGGCCCGGGCGCCCGGGCGCCCAGCCGCCCGGACGCCCGGACGCCGGCATGCCCGGACGGCGCGCGGGCGCTCGGACGCCCGGCGCCCGGGCGCTCAGATTGATTCGCCCGGACGCCAAGAGCGCCCAGCTGCCTGAACGGCGCCCGCGCGCCCGGCCTGGCGCCGGACGCCCAAGGCGCGCGGGCGCTGGGCCGCCCGGCCGCCCGGGCAGCCCACGCGCCCGGACGGCGCCCGGACGCCCGGACGCGGGAGGCCCGGGCCATGGGCGCCCGGGGCGCCCAAGGCCCGGACGCCCGGCGGCCCGGACGCCCGGGCGCCCATGCAGCCGCCCGGACGCCCGGGCCGCTGCGGCCCGCCCGGACGCCCGGGCCCTGCCCGAGCGCCCCGGACGCCCGGACGCCGGCAAGCCCGGACGGCGCCCGAGCGCCCGAACGGCCCGGCGCGACGCCCAGGCGCCCGGGCGCCCAGTCTCACACGGCCCGGACGCCAAGAGCGCCCAGCTGCCTGAAAGGCACCCGGGCCGCCCGGCCGGGCATGCAGCCCGGGCGCCCGGACGGCGCCCGGACGGCGCCCGCCGGGCACCCGGACGCCCGGACGCGGGGAGGCACATGGGCGCCCGGGGCGCCCAGCGCCCTGACGCCCGGGCGGCCCGGACGCCGGGGCGCCCAGCCGCCCGGGCGCCGGGCCGCCGCCCGAGCGCCCCAGACGCCCGGCGCCGGCATGCCCAGACGGCGCCCGGACGCCCGGACGCCCAGACGCTTCCAGGCGCCCTTGTAAGGGCGCAGCGTGCGGGCTGCCCGGACGCCCGGGGCGCCCGGGCTGCCCGGGCCCCGGGCAGCCCGCACGCCCAAGCAGCCTGGGCGCCCCGGCGCCCAGCCGCCCGGACCGCCCGGGCGCCCCGACGCCCGGGGCGCCCGGACGCCTTGGCGGCGGCCCTCGGGCGCCAGGATGATCGGACGGCGTCGGCAGCGCCCACGGGCCTTGTCATCAGGGCTGCCCGGGCGCCCAAGGCGCCCGGCGCCCGGGCGCCCGAGCAGCCCGGACGCCCGGGCGCCCAGCTGCCCGGGCGCCCGGGCGCCCAGTTGCCCAGACGCTCGCGAGCCGCCCGGGCGCCCGACACCCGGACGCCCGGGCGCCGGGGCGCCGGCACGCTAGGACGCCGGGGCGCCCGGCGCCCCCCGGGCGCCGGGATGCTCGGACGGCGCCCGGGGCCCGGGCCGGACGCCCGGGCCGCCCAGGTCGCCCGGGCGCCCGGCCGCCGCCCGGGACGCCCGGGCCGCCCGGGCGCCCGGGCGCCCAGCGCCCAGACGCTGCCGGGGCGCCGGCGCTCCCGGGCGCCGGGATGCTCGGACGGCGCCCGGGCGCCCGGGCCGGACGCCCGGGCGCCCGGGCCGCCCGGGCGCCGGCCGCCCGGACGCCCGGGCCGCCCGGGCGCCCGGACAGCGTCAGGCGGAATTGTGGTATTGTGCACTCACTCACGCACAGACGCACGGGCACACGCACACGCACACACGAACACGGACACGCGAACACGCACACGCGCACGCGCACACGCGCACACGCGCGCACGCGCACACGCACACACGCGCAAATGTGCACACGCGCACACGCGCACACGCGCTCACGCGCACACGCGCACACACGCACACGCGCACGCGCGCACATGCGCAGACGCGCAGACGCGCAAGCGCGTACACGCGCACATGCTCACACTCGCACGCGCACACACGCCACACGGGCACGCGCGCACACGCGGAGTCGCGCACACGCGCGCACGCACACACGCATACAAGCAC